ATAAGCTCTTTTTAAAAAAAAAAAGATTTACTTATTCATACAGAACTGGGGTACAAGCCAAAGCTTCAGGGCGGTGAGAGGCATCACCAGAGACAGTGGGGTGCAGAACAGGCAGATCGACGAAGTACACTGATGAGGGGAGCAGCGGGTAGGTCAGGAGAAATCTGCCATGCCACGTGGATCACCTCCGGGGCCAGGTATCTAACTGGCACCGAAGTGGCTGTGGCTAGCTTGCAATGCCATGTCCTAACCCATTGTGCCACCAAGGAGGACCCTAGTGATATATTTTTAATGGTAGTATTTTTTTTTCCCTGAAGATAATAACTTGTTTTCCAAATGTATGGTGAACACCGATGCTTCATCTTTGCCTTACTTTTGATGAATGTAAGAATTCTTCTGAAATAATCTCACCATTTGACCTCTGTATTGTGAACACTTAGCTTTTGGGAATGGTTTACCCAAGGTCATGTGTATGAAATTTGTATATAACTTCCAAATTAAGACTGAGTCTACCTACTGTATTAACTAGTCACATAGTGAATCACTTCTTTGAAAAAGGCTAGAAGAGTATGAACTAGAATTTTTAGCTACTACTTGACTGAAATGCTAAATGAGAAACCAAAGAAAATTTAACAAAAAAATTTTTAATAGGATTTTTAATTTTCCTTAATAGAATGTAACCACCCTTGATATTGATGCCTGAAGTGTAACTCAAGCCTACAGTTCATTTCATTTATTCTAGCATTCTATGATCCGCATATAGAAATGGGCAGGAACTGGAAAAACGTGTGTGTGTGTATGTGTGTGTGTGTGTATACCATAGTCCCAAATGACTAACTGAGGTTTTGATAGTTTAATGTAAAATGAAACACCCTTTAACTGCCTGTAACTTAAAGTTGATGATCCTAGTTGCAAAACATCAATTAACTGAACTAATGTTGACAGATGAGAGCATGAGCTCAGTTTTCCTTTTAACTACCTGAATTTCTTGTTAACACAGAGAAATAGACTCTGACAGTTTTGAGGTCTTGGCTAGGTAATCTTCATGAATGTGCACTGATATTTTTAAATAGAATTAGAATTGCTTAATTTTCTTCAGTCCTTCTTGGAATGCATGCTGTAATTCTCTTTTACATTGACTCAGTGCAAAAAAAGCGAAGCTCTTCACACATCACCTTTTTACTTTTTTGAAAACTGACTAGAAGTATGTTCTAGATATTCACAAAGGCCTTTACACAATATTTTATGAAATTTAATTTCATCCCAGAACAGCGAATTTTATATGTTGCTAATTTCCTGATTTTATCTCTGCACCTTCATGAGCATCTATCAGTACCTACTAGTGGATCACTGAAGAGAAACATCACAGGAGGGTCTTCCTGGTGGCCTAGGGATTAAGTCTTAGTGCTATTACCAAGATGGCCTGAGTTTGATCCCCAGCCAGGAAGCTGACCCACATGATATAGCAGACCTCTTCTGTCTCACCTGCTGCTCCCCTCAGCAGTGTAAAGAAAAAAACACAACAACCTGTAGAAATTATCTTTGATTGGTAAAGAGTAGTTGGTCATAGTTTCATTAGAAATAGTTTTCAAGCAGACATTAATTACAAGTAGGACTAACAAGTTTAGAAGTAATAAGATTATGCCAAAGTTCAAGGCAGGATATGCGAGAAGCCCATCCCTTTTAATCACACACTATTGTGAACATGAAATCTTGAGGTTTGCGGTCCTACATTACTTCAACACCTATGTACTGTGTGCAGCAGAACTACAATGCACAAGCCCATACAACTCCACATAACAAAAACATGTTTAGACTTAACCCCCAAAAGTGTGTTCCAGAATTACCTCAAATGCCAAACTGCCCTGTACCCCATTTCTTTTATGCAAACATAGAAAAAAAAAGTTTACAGGAACCTTGATATTTGTTTGTCTTTAATGAAAATAATTAACCAATTAGCATTTCTACTGAGTCTTTCCACAGTGTCTTCTGTACAATGTAAGTTGGTAAAAAAAAGGGTTATGATGAATTATAAAATGGTATGTTGAAGTGCCAGTTGACAATATCAATAGATCGATTTCTGAGCATAGAGCTCACTTTAGTGCATTTACCAGGCTGTTGCAGGCCCTTGCCCTATCCAAAGCAGTGAAAAGATGTGATCCCTGCCCTCAAGAAATTCTGTCTAGTTGTAAAGGTTCCCTAAAAATGAAAGCAATTAAGTAATTATATAGTCAGGAGATTTGAGGAATTCTTGGAGTCCTTCACCTCCCAAAGGTAAATTGTAACTTAGATGAAAATGAGTGAAGCACAACCTGAGACCAGAGCAACTAAAATAATTCATATATTCTTGGGGGGAATGATGGTTTTGGTCCATGTAGATGTCTCTTAATGACAACATTCATACCCCATTTCCAGAGTTCAATTTCACAAACACTTTTTAAAAAAGGATTCATTTATTCATACAGAACTGGGGTACAAGTCAAGGTGCAGGGGCAGTGAGAAGCTTCATCAGAGACAGAGTGGGGAGCAGAACAGGCAGACTGACGAAGTATACTGCTGAGGGGAGCAGCGGACGAGACAGGAGAGGTCTGCTGTGCCACGTGGGTCACCTCCGGGGCTGGGTATTGAAGTTGCGCTGAGGCAGCTGCAGTCAGCTTGCAGTTCTGTGTCTAACCTATCGCACCACCAGGGGGGGCAGAAACACTTTTGACCATCTCCCCCTATGCTGTAAAACCTTCTGTGGTTTCCAGTTCCAATTTGCAACCTTTTCCTCCATTATGATGAGTGTTGGTGATGAAGTTTATTCTTGTGAGCAGCTGCCTTCACATCCACTGATGTCTCCAGAATGGTTTTCAAAGTCAGACATGCCCACTATAGTTTTTGCTTTCCTTTTTGCCAACTGACCAAAATATTTCAAAACACCTGAGTAATAGGCATTCTCGTGTATTCTAATAAATGCCAAAAGTAAATTACACCTAAACTCTCTGTTGTACTGCTACTAATTTAAAGTCCTTGCAAAAAACTTCAAAATTAAAGTATAGATCAGAACACCACATCTCAGAATTACATCCATTTATTGTTAAATATATACTATGCACCACGCATGTTGTACAATACATTTTCCAGACTAAGAGAGCTTGAGCTCTGTTCTGCTTTCTACTCCCACACCTCCACCTGACATACACAGGCAGTCTTTCCAGATTACTTTTCTTTTTTAAGAATTATTACTTTATTTATTTATTACTAATTAAGCCTCTTCTTTAGTTTGTGTAGAAGAACTAGGGTATAGACCAGAGGTGCAGGGGGTGAGAGAATTAACCAGAGACAGAGTGGGAAGCAGAACAGTTGGATCTACAGAAATACACTGCTGAGGGGAACACTGGGTGAGACAGGAGAAGTCTGCTGTGCAATGTGGGTCACCTCCCTAGGGGGTCTGGAGGCGGGGTAGGCAGGGATCAGACTCAAGCCATAGCAGTGATATCACTGAAACCTATCCTAGAGGCCACCAGGGAAGCCCCTTTTCAGATTATCTAAATATCTGGAAACACATTCTGCAATTGCAAACATCTGCACTTTGGTATTTTGACAGAAATATTCTCTCCCCACTTCAGTACTTATGGAACCTCACTTATCTTTGAGTGAGCAGAAATGTTTCTTCCTCTGAGAATTATCTGAGGCCTGACCTTAACCTTACCCTATCTCAGACAAGCTCGGAAAGGATACTGGGCCCTCTCCTGTATCCCTGCACTACTTTGTCTTGCTTGTCTGTGGTTTCTGTTTTTTCTCATTTAATCCTGTGAGTTCCTCAAGTCAAAAGCCAGGTTTTATTTCTTTGTATTCCCAGAATATAACCTAGTTCCTTGTAGGGACAGTGTACTCAAGGAAATATTTATTGAAGATGCTTCAGCAAAGGTAGGCAGAACTGATCTAGGCATCCTATTGATTTGGCATGTTTTGTTAATTTTTATTAAAGACAAATGTGCAAAGGTAAAGATGTTTTGAAAGATGAGCTACCATTTCCTTTGGTATCACTGAGGAATTATTTTAAAGTTTTTAATTCTCACACCTGCATCCTCTCAAGTTTTCAGAAACTGATTATACAAGGCTTGTGCTTCCCTTTTTCCCTCCAGTCTTCATTGCCTGTCTGAGGATTTCACCGAGTAAAATGCCACATTCTCCAGAGGGTGGGAAGGAGAAATGAAACTCAAATTGCTGCTTTTCTGCTTCTCAGCACCTCTATTGAAGCACTGGAGAGAGAAATAAATGCTGACACTGATATAATAAATTTCACAGTATCTTCATAATTGTATATCTTCAGCTAGTATAGCACTCCATACCTAGCATCTCTTTATTCATCAGCATGTTTGTAAGAGGGATGAGCCCAGGTACTTTTTAAGAATAAATATTTCGATCATAATAACCTGGAAATAATTCAGTTTTTCTCAATTTTTTCTTTTGTTCACGGTAGGAAACAGTGAAATTGATGCAGTGAAAAAGTGTCTCCATTTTTAGAAGAACACTAAAATTAGTATAAATGAGATATCTCTTTGTACAAGGGTTAAACAGTGAATAGTTTGTTATATGATACAGTGTATATTGCACATCCAGTATTTATAAAAAAGAGATAGATAACAAATGAAGATCTACATGATAGATAGATAGATAGATAGATAGATAGATAGATAGATAGATAGATAGATAGATAGATAGATAGATAGATAGATAGATTGATTGATTTTGCTGTCATCGTATTAACGGGAGAAGAGTCTGTAGTCCCCAAACAAGTTCAAAATCACCCGTTTAATTTCACAGCTCAGGAAGGAACTTGGCATGTGCATGAAGAGCATGACTTGTTTTTTTGTTTGTTTGTTTGTTTTTTGTTTCTTTGCATCTAGTGGTGCTACTGCATGAACTGCTTCTAACCATTTTGAAGCTTCATGATATTATTCTAGTGTCTGTTCTTTTTTTTTTTCACTAAATATATGGATTTTATGTTTTAGATTTTCATGTTGAAGAGGCACTGGATTGGCCTGGAGTGTATTTGCTACCAGGTCAGGTTTCTGGGGTGGCGCTGGACCCTAAGAATAACCTGGTGATTTTCCATAGAGGCGACCATGTCTGGGATGGAAAGTAAGTAATATTTTTCCTTCAAGGGTAAATGAAAATAAAATGGCATGCATTACTTTTCATTAATCACTAATAGTGGTGAGAAAACTATTAAGGTTCTTTTAAAAGTTGTTTTTGTAAGCAAAATACCTTGTTCTTTATTTGTGTGGCTGTGACAAGTAGCAGAAGAGATATCATGTACATTTCAAAACAACGTGATTTCATCAACTAGTTTATGAAGAGAAGGCAATAACAGTGGTCCTGCCCACTGACTATTGTTCCTTTGTTCAAACTACCTTCATATTCCTGTGGAGAGTGTTTTATTTATTTTTATTAAAGATTTGTTTATTTATGCATACAGAACTGGGGTTCAGGATAGAGGTGCAGGGGCAATGAGAGGATTCACCAGAGACAGAGTGGGGAGCAGAACAGATGGACAAAGTACACTGCTGAGGGGAGCAGAGGGGGAGACAGAAGAGGCCTACTGCACCATGATGGGTCACATCCGGGGCGGGGATCAAACTCACACTGAAGCTGCTGGGCTTGCTTGCTGTGCTGCACTTTAATCCGCTGTGCCGCTAGGTAAGACCCTGGAGAATATTTTAAATGCAATTAAGTTTCACTTGTATTTAAAAAGCATCATCATAAAAAAATAACAACCAACTAAGAAAAGTTATTAGTTGACTATAATAAAACTGTTTCCAAGCACTGGGTGCAGAACTCTAACACCACTAGCCTCCCTCCCTGTCAGGCTGTTCCTTGGCAGTAACCACAGTTAGCTTTCTGTGGTTGGACAGGTCTGCTGTTTCTACTCTAGAACTAGTGAGCAGTTTGGCCTTCTTCATATTTTTGTATAGGTTACTCTACTAGCTAAATTTGCTATTTTCATGAATACCAAAGATTTAAGAATAATATACTTAAATTGTCAAATATACTATTAAGTATGTTGCCTCTGGAATTTTCTTTTCAATCTTTCATTCTATCTCCAAATATCTTAGAGGGATTTTGGGTGATAATATTGAGTGCTTATGGTGGGCCAAGCACGGCTCTAAATGTTTCATAAGTTTGTCATAACAATTAGGAATTGTTATTATCACCTTTTACAGATGAACAAATCTAGAAGAAGTGTTTTACCCCAAGTCTCAGAGTTAGTGATTGGCAAAACTAGTCTTCTGTTCCTTTCCATCTTACTCCAGGCTGTTCCAGTTACCCACATCACTTGTATTTATTTATCTATCTATTTATTTAACATCATTCTTCATTTGCGAGCAATGTATGCTTTTTCATCTCAGTTGTAACCCCATGGACTTTCTATCACCAGTTCACCCATGTGCCATCACCTTAATCCTGTGTGTTCTTCCTGCCTTAGTTTTGATACTATTTTCCTCTCCGTATTTCCTCCCACCCCTCGTCCTGAATGCCTCTGGTTTAGTTTTTACTTCATTACAATTATTTTCCCCCTCATCCCTTGCACTCCTGTTATGAGTGAAACCGTCTAGTATTTTTATTTTTTTTCCCTGACTTATTTCACTAAGCATGATCTCTGCTCTCTCCACCCAGTTGTTGTAAATGGTATGACTGTCTTTTCTGATTAATATTCGGGATTGCAAATAGTATTCTGAGTAATATTCAGGAATGCAACACTGATCCAACAGATGTGGAAAGCTGTTTGGAGGTTTCTCATACTGCTAAAAATGGAGCTTCCATACCATCCAGCAGGTCCACTCCTAGGTATCGACCCAATGGACACAAAAACATTAATTCAAAAGGACACCTGCACTCCCATGTTTATTGCAGCTCAATTTACAATGGGGAAAATGTGGAGTCAACCCAAGTGCACCCAAATAGATGACTGGATCAAGAAGATATGGTACATACACACTATGGACATACTCCAGTTACCCACTTCCTTATATAGACTGTAAGCACTCTCACACAGTTGTTAAAGACATGCTCCAAAATGTAGCAGGTTTTTAATACTCTACCGAGAATGAATATTCATTTGTTTTATGACATCTTTTCATATGAAGGTAAAGTTTCAAATATCAAATATCCTTTCAAGTATATAGTTATAAGGTCTTTGGAAAACAGGATCTGTATATATAGTTACTCATTTTTTCCTCATTATTTTCAAAGCTGTTGATTAAATGTACACTAAATCTGCACTGTAATATACACCTGTGTGTGTTTTTTTTTATGTACTTCTAAAGCTGGAATTCAGTCATTTCAGAGTATCTTGATAGCTTTTACTAATCATCTGAGTCATTATTGAACATCTAATGGTGTTTTAACAAGTGCTTTTAAAAGCAAACTAACAAACTGTTACTATTCATTGTAGCACATTCTTCATTTAAATAAATATTGCTATATTTTCTGCATGGATTTCTAGCCACACCTTACCAGACTAGAAAATTACAGTATCATTTTCTCCCATTGATACTGTTTCAGCTGGCTAAAGCTAAATTGGACAAAATCCAATTTTCCATTTTAATGTGATACTCTCCAAATCAACAGTACAGGCCAAAATAGAGAAAGGGATTAGAAAAGGACAGCTTAGAATAGGAAATGACAGATGATGATGAACCAGAAGCTACATAAGAGCATCTGCTGTGATATGTATGACAGCCCTAGCTAAAGGGCTCCTTTCTTTCTGGATCTCACTTTCTTCTAGATAACTGGTATCACATGTACATTCCAGCTTCATTGCCAAAGTCCTGGTGTGTTTACCCTGACAAATGGCACCAACAAAGGTGGGGTGTTAATGCAAGAATTTTTCAGAGCAGACTTGCTGATTTAATTCATTTAACCTTTTTTTTCTTCTTCATCTTTGCCTTTCAGATCTAAGAACATTATCTCTACTTTTTTTTAAAGGTTTATTTATATATGCATATAAGAACTGGGGTACAGGCCAAAGGTACAGGGGGTGAGAGTATTCACCAGAGACAGAGTGGGGAGCAGAAGAGGCAGATCTACTGAAATACACTGCTGAGGGGAGCAGGGGACAGGTCAGGAGAGGACTGCTGTGCCATATGGGTCACTTCCGGGGCCAGGGATCAGACTCTGCTTCAGTGGCTGCGGCTAGCTTCAGAGTGCTGCGCTTTAACCCGTTGCACCACCAGGGTGGGCCCTATCTCTTATTTTCTTTTGCCTCTTTACTATCTATTGGCCTCTAGCATCCCTGACAGTTTATTGTTGTGAGGAAATTCTCTCTGGCACTCAGGTATTTACTTTCAACCACTTTTTGCTTTATATTCATGAAGAGAATTGAAAGCAGATTATACTCTTACTTGTATTTTAGGAAAATAGATTTGGATTTGTGGGTTTTGTTCTTTGAGCTCTCATGCATGACCATCCTTCCTACATATATAAGTCACGTTCTATAAAATAGATAAAGTACACATTTTCCTTCTCCCTCATTAAATATTCAAGGATTATATAAAGAAAATGACAGTGCTTTCCTGTAGAATTTATGATGTGCTGGTGGGAGACAATGGAAATTCAAGATGAGGTAGCAATTGATAGCAATTGCATTCTTGTTGCTACCACTGTTTGTATAGCTGATATTATACATAAAATAGGCCAGTAATAGCTGTTCCTGGGTCTTTGTCTTCTCCCTTCTCTAAGGGAGAAGTCCTGTATTAATTTTCTTGAGATGTTTTGTGATTTCTCCTACTCACAAAATTGCAGGTTCCAGCAAGCCTAGACTTGTTCTCCTTCAAATCTAAACACTCTTAATTCCCTAGTTTTTAGGAGGTGATCATTGGTTAGGTATCAGAATATTCTTAGCTAATAATAATCCCTAGCTAATACTCAGTATCCAAAGTTTGTTTAGAAGTCATCTATCAGCCTCTGCTTTATAAGACTAATGCTCTTAATTCCTTAATATCCCCCAACCAGTCCTTACTCTTCTACTTAACCATACCTGCCAAACAAATTAAATATAATTATAATAAACCACTCAACCTCTTGCAAGATGAATGTCACTCTTTTCCTCAATTTTATTTCCATTTTTCTCCCTGTCTGTCCCTTCCCTTCACTCAAGAAGCTGCTTTTAGCTGAGATAAGTAATATCTATTACCAGCAGGATGAAATGAAACTTTAAAGAGTTTCTTGTCTGTCCTGGTGGTTAGGGCAGCGTGGCAGCAAGAGCCTTTAAAGTTTAAATATTGCCCAGCCAGAGCTGATAGCTCCTGCCTTATAACAGCTGTTCCTGGGTCTTTGTCTTGAAATCACTGCCACTGTCAAAGCTTCTGGCCTCTTTTATTTATAATGTCAGCTACTATTGATATTCTACTATGCAGGTCTCACTTAATTAAACTATAGGCATTACCCCTAATGTTTAGGTGTTAAAAGTTGTTTCCACTATATTATTTATCATTTCTTCATAATGTCGTTGTAAGGAATCGTAGAAGTTGTATCATTTTAATATGTATTCTGTTACCAGTAAGAGTGAAAACTGAACAACTAACTTAGGGTAAGAAGAAGTGTATTAGTTTGTACAGATAAAAGCCTGAACGGTTTCTGTAGCCCAGATGACATTATACCATTTTTTTGTTTTCAAAGCCTTTTCTCCTGGTTGGTTCCTAGGCCCTGGCTCCCCTTGCAACCTGTCTTCCCCTTGCAACTTCACATTAACATAATAGTCTCCCCAAAAAGGTAGTGCTCCACCTTTGGTAGGGCCGCAGAAAATCCATAAATTGAGTTCTTGCGCTTTCTTCGAGTTAACTTAAGTCACATTCATCCCTGAGCCAATCACTCTGGGCAAAGGAATGAAATTGTCTGGCTCAACCTAAATTCTTCTAGCCTTGGAATGTGGGAGTAGAATCGACATAATTGGAAGTAAATGAGATAAGAATGAGGCTCAGAATGTTAGGCCAGCTAAAGAAAAATTGAAATTTCATTAACAAAAAGTCGGAATTGACATATCACACCCAGAACAGCAACAGCAAACATCCACCAGATCACCCCCACTATTATACAATGCAGATGTCTCTTTACAGACCCTTTCACAAGTAAACAGTGCT